ACTGGTGGTCATCCAGATCCCTTTGCCCTGCACAGAGAGCCTTCCTCTTTGAATTTCTTGTGCCATGTCCAAATCTGCTTTCCAGTTGGTGCATTTTTATTGAATTTTCTCAAAAATGCACGCTGCAAACTCTTGTTTGACTGTGTTTGATCATATTCTAACACACAAAATGCCTTTTCATTTCTAATGGAGGCCATCCTTCAACCTAAAAAAAACATTAAAAATTAAACTTGGTTGGTTTTTACACATTTTGTTAAAATTTGAGATCATTTGAGGGAGAATTGGCTATGTTATTAGACTACAAAATTATGTCAATTTTTTTGGGACACCCTGTATATAGAAGTACAAAGTAACTAATGTGAGAATTACCAGGTATATTTCAGCATTTAATTCTATGAAGTTACACAATAGAGGTAAGTACTATAAATAATAAATAAATAAATGCTTACATCGGTACAAGTGACAAACGCCAGGGTACCTACCACTGAATACGTAGTAAGTACATACCTGGTAGTTTTTATCTAAGTTACTACGTACATGCAAAGTATGCATCAGAAAATACTTGTAAGTACTGCACATTTACTTACTAAATACTAGTCACTTATAAAAGTGCTACCACTAATCCTTAGAAGCCTAATAGGTAGCATTGTTTTGCCATGCAATTCAAATAGAATAACATAATTAATTTCATAGTTATAGAGAGAATGTCATATATAGTGTATGTCAACAGTAACAATGAGAAACCCTTACCTTCCTCATCCTCATTCTCTCTGCATCTATCCTGGGGGGAAACTAAGCGTGCTTCCTGATTCATTACGAGTTTATGAGTTCATTAGCATGGCCTGTGGACAGAGAATTCACTGCAGGACAGCAGCTGGACCCACACATTGAAGGTGAGAAGTGCGTTCATGCAGACATATCCTGGTAAAGAAGGCTGTAGCCTCTGCTCATTAGAGGGGAAGAGAGAATTACACTTAAATTGTAATCATGGCCCTGACTCAAGTGTACTTGCATTAAGCTCAAAGACAAACTAAAGGCTATGCTGGTGGTGCAACAAACGTAACAGTTGAACAGTGGTGTTCTATGATGAATAAAGAGGGCTGAGCTCACTGATAATCATTAAATTAAATCCTAAAGAACTATAAGCTTTCCCCAAAGCTGTCTGCCTACTCTCTATTCCACTGTTCTTTCACAGGCTGAAAATGGCTTAAAAGTATATAAAAACATGAGAATAATGTGATAACAAATCCTTAATCAACTCACATTTACTGTGTTTTTGCTCACTGATATTTCTTAACAAATGCATTTAACTGAGCAAAACAAAGTCGGCTGTGTTGTTTTTGATGAAATACATTGATTTGTCAGATTTGCTTGTGTTTGTTGGTCAGTGCAACCTATTGAATAAAACAAAGTATCTTTCCCATTGGCTCCTGGCATCATCTATTTGCATACTCTCTTCATGTTGTCTTTCCCCCTGGCCTACATCTCTGTTATATTGCTTGGTTAGCCACTTAGCCTCATTTGTGCTGGTGATGTGCTGTTCACAAATGAGTTGTTTCTTTTAGTTGTACGTTTCGGAGCCAACACACATTGAAGAGTTAATTTCTTTTTTTTGTTTATTTGTAAGTCCAGACAAAACAAATGGGTAGATTTTATGATGCTGTAGCTGACCCCCTTTCTGGATCTCCTTGGAACATATGGCCAGTCATTATCTCCAAAGTATTGCTTGTTGTTAGTTTGGCTCTGGTTCTGTTCTTGGTGGTTTTCACATAATGATTAGCTGTGTTTTCAACTGTGCTTTGTTAGTTTATCTGATTTTTGACTCTGCCTTTTTTTGGTGATGACTGGTTGATGAATGTGCCTGCACTTTGCTTGTGTAGATTAATGTTATATTGAGAATAAAATGATAGATAATACTGCTAACTTGGCTAAATTTGGGGAACAAGAACTGACAATGCTACTGAATGAAGAGCCATTTCAGAGAAGAAAGAGTCAGCTCTTATTGGTGAGCTGGGCCAATTGATCTGATACACCAAAAAGAGCCGGAATGCCTATCACTACCATGTACTCTGCTGGTGAGCATGTTTCTACAACAGCTGGGTAGTACAATAACAACTTTACAAAGTTAAAAAACAAATTTAAAATGCATAGGAAAACTAAGTTAAATGAAGGAGTAATACATAAGAACGATCAGTCCAGTTGATTAGATGTTCATCAAATCATATTTGAGTGATTTACTTGAATTCATTAAGTATATGTTGCTCAGTCAAGTATCTTAAAAGCTACAGTTGTGTGGAACCACTTGACAACAAACAGCAGGGAGCTTCTAGCCGTATACAATCTCAGCTGGGTTGCTTTCCAACTTGATCATCATAATCTTGACTCCTAAGGTCATTGTGATGATGGCTTATGATACTGTGCAACAGGCACTTAAAAATATATCTAAAGCCTTTTATCATTTCATTTCATTTGTTCAGAAAAACACAAATATTCTAAGAATTACAAATTAACTAACAGTACATTGTGTGAGAATGTGCTAGCGCAACCATTTCCAAACCAAAGCTAAGTATTTACAGTTACCATCTAGTACCTGCTTCAGAATTTCATAAACACACGCAATGGCTGGACTGTGACTACAAGTCAGCAACTAACCCTGTGTTCTACCTGTAATCTTCTAACCAAGATATCAAAAACTTATGAAAATTAAAATTGTACTGCATTTTCATTTATTTGCATTCATTCTAATGTAATATAGTGCTTTTACTGGCAAAAACTTACTGCCCAGATAAATCATTTTAAACACTTTACAAATCTTTTGCATGGCAGATTATCTCACACTCACAGTCATTAAAAGGTTAGCTATACATAGTGATCATTATTTAACACCTCTGTTTTCAATATATTCTCTTATTTGCTGTATTGTGTATGTGTTCTAATGCAGACTATGTGTAGACAAACCCTGACCTGACCTGAGGTGACTGATAGGAATTAGCATGTATTCCTTTCTAACAAATGGCATTTGAACAGTTAATTTTTTTTATTTTGGACAATATGTTATCATTTTTCGTAATGTGAATAATGTGAGCCAGCTAAGCGGGCATGCTGCATTTGAATAGTGTTGCAAAAAATGTTATCCATTTGGAAATATGTTTGGAGAAAACAAAAGTCTGAAGAGGTCAGACTGCAATCTGTAATGCCTTTAATGACAAAGTTCTGAGGGGGAAGCACACAAGCTTCAGGTAGACAGCAAATAAATAGTGTTATTGTCTTATGTATATTTATCTTTATACACCGATCAGGCATTAAACACTGTGTCCACTCACTGTCCACTCTATTACACACTCCTACCTTGTCAGTCCACCTTGTAGATGTAAAGTCAGAGATGATAGCTCATCTGCTGCTGCACAGTTTGTGTTGGTCATCCTCTAGTCCTTCATCAGTGGTCACAGGACGCTGCCCACAGGACGCTGTTGGCTGGATATTTTTATTTGGTGGACTATTCTAAGGCCAGCAGTGACACTGAGGTGTTTAAAAACTCCAGCAGCACTGCTGTGTCTGATCCACTCGTACCAGCACAACACACACTAACACACCACCACAACGTCAGTGTTACTGCAGTGCTGAGAATGATCCACCACCCAAATAGTACCTGCTCTGTGAGGGTCCATGGGGGTCCTGACCACTGAAGAACAGGGTAAAAGGGTGCTAACAACGTATGCAGAGAAACAGATGGACTACAGTCTGTAACTGTAGAACTATAAAGTGCACCTATACAGTAAGTGGAGCTGATAAAATGGACAATGAGCGTAGAAACAAGGTGGTCATAATATTATGCCTTGGTGTATATATATATATATATATATTGTGTGTGTATATATACACATATATATGTATATATATGTTATATATATATATATATATATATATATATATATATATATATATATATATATATAAAAAAAACTGGCAGTTTGGTGTTACAGTTTACAAATATGTATATGTAAAACATGTTATTTTCACATCCATGTACTCACATAATCTCTGATCCTAACAGAAGGTGAAAGCATAGTCCTGCCAGCTTAGCTGTACACAGTTTAATTTAATTCCCTTCAAGTAGCCAGGAGTCATAGCGTTCCTCCTCACTGAGCAATTTCTTTGTCCACGTTGTCCTAACTATAAGAATGTGCACAAATTTGGTGCTCCCCATCCCCACTGTTCCATACAGAAGAGAACAGATTTTAGATAGCGATCATCATCTTACGTAATTCAAACATAACCTCTGAGTAACTGTACTCTGAAAGGCATACTTGCATAACCAGCTAGCTGCTGGCAAATGCTGATGGTTTTGCAAGTTACTAATAAACACACTGATTTATTAAACTTGCCCTAGATGATGTTTCAACATTACATATAGTTTGATTCAAAACTAAAGTCTTGTTTTTTTCAGCACACAGAATTTTTATTTTTTTACATTTAGCTTGTTGACTGTTCGTTTTGTATTGGCTACAACACAAGCTTTCAAAACCAACCACCAAAACATCTACCCCATTAGTCCTGGGGCAGCTGCAGGACTGTTTCAGCAATCCCTAACAGCTGCTTTAATGGTGCTTAGATTTCACAATTGAAGATCTCAAAGCAAACGAGCTTGCACAGATTGTAGACTTACACGTTTGCCACATGGCCCAATTTAAAGTCCTTTTTATCTCTGAGGGAAAGTACTAGAGGACACGATGCTGTCCATTCAAACCCTTTAGTGGAGTATGTGGTTAATTAGTAGCACAGACCACATAATCACATAAATACAGTACTTTCTGCATGAAGACATAAGAACAGCTGCTTTAAAGAAAACTTCCATGTGTATGTCTACAATACTTGATGGTTAAATGACTTACAGAATTACAATATATGATCTTATATGCTTAACAAAGCAGCTTGGGGGGCTCTGGGAGAGAATATGTGCAGTGGTGATGTGTCGATGTTTCAACAGGCTTTTACACAGGTAAACAGCAACATATGTTTATTAATTATAGCATATTAAGTTATAAGTGCAACACTTCAGAAAAAGTGAATCAGTAAGAATACATTTAGAATGTAAATAGTTTTAAATATTTTTGTCAGGTCCGGATTAAAATTCCATCAGCTGCAACATTCACAGCCAAAACCTGTGTGGCTTCTGCCCCTCAGTGGCCGTTTACATCATTACACCAGTCAAACAGACCATCTGAGCTTTTTACAAGGTATTAAATCTTATTTTCATAAATGATCCATAAATACAATCTAAAAATTAAACAAAGACAAAGTCACCTTAAGCCAAAAATGCAAATTTCTGTTAATCAATAAATACAGAAATACACTTTTACATTAAATACAGAGGTATAAATTCAGCTAAAGATTCAGCAGTGTAAATGACTAAAAACTTCAAAATTATGAGGAATGAATCCAGTAATGTCATTATTAAACATAGATAGATACATCGTTATGAACATGGATGCAAAATCAGAAGGTACTAAAGGATTTGTGTTTAATGGAACTGTTACCATGAAGTACACTACTGCTCAAATGTTCGGAATCAACATTTTCAAGAACATAAAACCAGTCTGGTCATAAACATATCGCTGATAGATGTTGATGTTAGAACAAAACTTCCTATCTCCAAAATAGTAACTTTACAGGAGAAGGAAAAAAATACTTTATTTTTAACGTAAGTCAATGGAACCAGAGCTTTTGTCCAAGTAGTTTTGGGCCATTTCTTTCAGTCCATTGATCGTGAAATTTACAATGTAAATGGCAACAGGTATTTTCAAATTATGTCAAAAACTGAAAAACAACAAAAGGTTTTTTTCCAACAGCAGTGATATATCAAATCGTTCTAATATGTTGCTATGCTTGTTGTAATGTAATTAAAACCCAGAATGGCTTGTGTTGCAAAGCTTAAGGCAGATTCTATGACAAGAAATTACTAAATTAATAACCATACAAAAATAGACACAGTACTGTGCAAAAGACACCTAAGCAAATTGTTTAAACGCTTTTATCTTGGCAATTAGTCTGTTTTTACACCATAAAAACACCATATGTCATTACAAGATGTAGATATGAGTCAAAATGCACAAATAGGTCAAGTGTTTCAAGAAAGCGATTGACATATTGTGAGCTAGTTTGAAGAAAAGCTTTTGGTTCCAGATTTCTCCTGACTGCCCTCAGCCATCACACTGGATTTAACATAATGCAAGTACTAATTAGCTAAACCAGGTGTTAGGCGATAACTACTAATAATACTGGGCTTTGTCGAGGAGATGTTTGGAAATAGTTGAGCAAACACACTGATATACATAAAACCACTACTTATTGTATTAAAGTTATTATTTGTATTAATTCTACTAGAGTTTTTCCTGACACAGAAACTCTAACAGCCAAAAAATACCTTTTTAAGTTGCAAAAAATGTTTGCACATTACTGTATATGTATATACATTGTATATCTCTGTTAATAACATCATGTCATTTCCAAAATATACTGAAGAATAAAAATACAGTTTGGTGTCTTATTTATATTATTTATACCTACATTATTGTAAGTAAGTTACTATAGAATAATATGTTATTCCAATCATTTGAGCAGTAGTGTTCTTTATTGCTGATATTTTTTATTTTATTGCTACTCTCAGGTATTAAATACATCCACCTGCAACTCAAGCTCACAATCCTTATTCTGCAACATTTAAAGAGAGCTGGTATTTGTCTATATTTCAATATTCTTTCCCAAACAACTCCTCCACCTGACTACCAAAGCAGAGTATTTGGACAGTAGACTCTGAAGGTTAAAAATAGGTTACAAAAGCTTGAGCTCTTTCAAAATTTACATGGCAAATGCAAGTGAGCCCAACACAGATGACATATGGCAATGAAGAACAGGAGGAAATACGAATGGTGAGAGAAGTGCACTTATAACACTTGATATTCTGTGCTTTCCCAATTACCCAGGATGATATACATTCTCATTTCCCCATCTTTTGATATTTGGTATCAGTATGAATACAGTAGCAATGTGCATGTGTCACATCCTGCAAACATTCAGGACTACTCTAGTTTTAAACATAAATATTGCAATAAGTCCAGCAAATTATGGACATCAGTTCTTTATATACTTTCTAGCAGAATATTCCAACTAACTAAACAAAATACAAGGAAAAAAAGAGCATCATAGAGAGGCAGTCAACGATATAGATATATATGGTCGGATGAGTGGAAGGACAGAAATATTTCTTGTTTCAACATGGTGTCATGAACCATGTTTGTGCTCAATAAAATCAAAGACTTACAGAGATATTCTCCTGCACAGCAAAGTCTACCTCTGCCCATAGTACCCATTCATAGCATTGTTTCCAGGTGGAGTTATACTGATGGAATCAATAAGAGGACGCAGTGCTTGTCCAAATGGCCTGCGGAGAGCAGATCGTTTCAAAACATCATGTTTCAGGCTGGTATAACTTCTTTCAGTGTTAAATGCTATACTAACAGGACACTCACTGGCCACTTTATTACGTACACTGACCTTGTATCTACACTTGCCCATTTTGTCAGGTCCACCTACAATATAGGCGCACATTCTAGTTCTATAACTACACGTCACTACCGTGTCAATGTGACTGTTGTGGCAAAGTGGTCCACCCCCCAAATGATATCTACTCAGTGGTGGTCCTGTGGGGATCCTGATCACAGATTAACAGGTTAAAGGTGGGGCTTCCAAAATGCTGTGAAAAAGATGGACTACAATGTGTAATCATAGAACTACAAAATGCACCTGATAAACTGGACCAGTGTAGATGTAAGGTAGGTGTACCTAATAAAGTGGCCAGTTAGTGTCCCAGTAATAAATGCATACCAAACTAGTACGTAGACAATATGTTCACACTAGGGCTGGGCAAAATGACAATATTTATCATTATCATGATAAATTACGCCACAATACACTTTTCTGAGCATAGAGTGGATATACTAACCAGCTGCATGTTTTGTTTAAAATATAGTATAATTAGTCTTCTTTTATTGAAATGAGTGCAATAGGGTATGTAAAAAAAATAATTTGTATTCATAGTTTTTGACAGTATTCTTTAAACATGACACCACTGGCTCTTTTTTCTCTCTTCTAACTTTTCAGAAGTCAGAGAAAAATAAATGCAGAGACATATTGTGTATCATGGTATCATGGTATTATATTTTGCCAGATTGTCCACCCCTAGGTCACAGTGCTAATGCACTAAATAAAATGATATAAATTTAATTTTATAAACAGTGTGAGAGACTTACGTGGAAAGCACCTCAGACGGCAGGTCAGTAATGTACGAAGGGATTTTTCTTCCTGTTAAAAACTGGGCCACCTCGTTGCTGAAGCTGTTACAATTGTGTTCAAAAAGCTGATAATTGTCTGCTCTGTGGAGAGAGATGAAGTAGGCAAAAGTGACATCACATGCATTTCACAGATCACATCAAACATACCGAAATCTGTTTTTGAAAATATCTGCAAAAGGAGAATTAATTGACCTATATGTGGACTCTCCTAGAGATGAGAGGTACTCTGTGAAAAGGTCTACATTCACTTCTGTATTTCCTAAATCCACTATGGCGTTGGGCTCTCCCAGCAACGTACCACCCTGAAGCAATGAGAAACACATAAACAACACATGACTCAGCTTTTTGAATGCAGTGCTTTTTTACTTTCACCTTTACTGTATTACATCTATACCACTATATTTCTTTAGTCTCTTATACAAAGATATATTAACTGAAACAATAATATCTTGCTAAATAATAATGCTGAAGAGTTTATAACAAGTCTTACTGGTGGGCAGCTTGCTATCCCTTGTCCCCCAAAGAAGAACTCAGCTCCATGCACCACTATTGCTGTGTGCCTAGAGTTAAAACAAGACCTTCACTCACACACAACTACTTTTATTTTTCAATAAGAGGTGGATGTGAGCAGATCGAAATAACTGGGAAAATGACTTTTAAATACTTACCATATTCCTTCCAGTTGTTTTCCTGTTAGTCAGCAAGGAAGTATGGATACATTTGATAAATGGTTTTCATATATTCTTCACATGCAAGAAACATTTGACTAGCAAGACCAAAAACTGACACTGATACTGTCGACTGATAACAACTGAGTAGATCTGAGTTATATACAAGAAACTAGTCAGGTTATCAGTCTGTTTAGTTAGCCAGCTATCTTGCTAGCAAGCCATCACTAAAAGTTTCCTGGACGGTAAGTTAAGTTAACTTACTCACCTAACATCATGGGACTCAGCTGCCGGGCCAGTCCTTTTGACAGGTCATAAATGTACAGCTTCACACTGTATGTTGACGCCTGATTGTCCATGGCTTACCACGACTATTATCAGAACTCAGATTATAAACTAGCTAGCTACCAAGTTAGCTACTTCCAAGCTGAATGACGAGCCAGCTAACAAACTAGCTCTAATGATTAAAGTCTTGAGGATTCCGCCGGCTGAAAGAGCTCTGCTTCAAGATAAACCACTCGGTTAAAAGTAGCCAATACAGCGATACTCTCCACAGCTGGCTGATATGAGCATTGACCTGATGGGCACCGTGTTTCTGCTGCTGTGTCACAGTGACGCCGGAGATTAAAGACTGAGACAAAAACCGCACAGACCGAGCAAAGACAGAGCAGGGACTTAAACTGATAAACCGGCAGTGAGACTATGCGTTCATCCGCCACAACGGCAGATGGCGATATAAGACACAAACATGTATATGCGTTTGTTTTATTTCATTCATATTAGTACGGAGAATGTGCTATAGTTAATTTTAGTAAGGTATTAACACTTTCAGTCTAACCCAACGTGTACATAAATACTTCCACAGGTTTGTTTTTATACTGTTTCAGTTTACGTCGTCTATGCCCAGGCATGTCTGTGGACACTGGTTGGTAACGCTCTCTTGCATTCTGATTGGTTCTTGTACTGGCAGCCAGTTCTCGTCATTGGTGTAAGAGTTTCGTTTTTTCGCGTTGATTGGATGGGAGCGCTGTCAATCAATCTGTGGCACTTTGGCTCATGCAGTGAGCGCGGCTTTTGCAGTTTTGCTAACTAACCTAGCGAAGTGCAGTTTTGTCTCATGTTTAATTTCCTCCACGAATTAAAGCGAGTGCTGCCTTACGCTTTAGGACTTTGACTTGGTTTTATATAACTAAATCAGCATCCTGCACTTCTTGCCTCTTGTGTGGAGGCTGCAAAGTGAAGCGGTTAGTTTGGTTATTTTGAAGAAGAAGAAGCAGAATGGCCGACTGGGACGCTTATTACCGCAACGAAGATGATGAGGTTGAACAAGAAGAGGGAGAAGAATCTGCAGGTTTGCATTAACTCGTCCGTTTTATACATCTGGGACTTACAGTTAAGTTAAGAGTTTAGGCTGTGTGAAAACTTCCTTAGTATAATGATTGAATGGACTTGTATTATGTTACATTAACTTCATTAGGTGATTACAAATACGGTGGGCGTGACAGCTTGGTGTTCTTAGTGGATGCATCCAAAGAAATGTTCGTCAAGGGTGAAGATGGAGAGCCCTCCAACTTTGACATGACCATGCAGGTATGTATGTATACGAGGCTCAAGCTGCCTTCCTACCCGCCGGATTCTTGTTCGACTTTTCCGTTCCACCTTAAATTGTGCGGCAGTTACATTGTGGCGCCTGGAAGGGCCAGGACCTTACTGCTTCACCATTTAAGGTGGAACTGAAAATTCGAATAAGAAACTAACTTCAGCTTCCTCCACAACTACACAGTTAAACTTAGGGTTATTCCAGGGTTCTTTAGTAAAGGGTTTGGTTCTATATAGAACCACTTCGTGCTTGTAACATTGGAAAAACCCTTTTTGGTGCTAAGTAAGACCATTTTTAAAAAGGTTCTTTATAGAACTATATACAACACATTCTTCATCAATCTGAAGAATCGTTTCATCATGCAATGAACGATTTAAGCATGAAATGGTTCTATATAGAACCATTCCGTTTACTAAAGAACCCTTAGAGAATCTTTTTTTTTAAGAGAGTAGGCCTCATAAGATATAATCAATCCAAGCAGCCCTGTTATGGACCGTACTTATTTCTGTATGTGTCTCTCTTCCTCTTCTAGTGTGTGCGCAGTGTGTACACCAGTAAAATCATCAGTAGTGACAAAGACCTGGTTGCGTTGGTGTTTTACGGAACTGAGCAGAGCAAGAACCCCAGGAACTCCTTCAAACATGTCTATGTTTATCATGATCTGGATTCACCAGGTAGGAAGACAGCCTTCTCATGATGCAGACCTGTATGTTCGTGTTGATACTTTGAATCCATGACTGTCTTTTCTCTTAGGTGCCCGGTGGGTGCAAGAAATAGACAGCCTTCGGGGAGAGAAAGGAGCTCAGCTGGCTGCTGAGACCATGGGCTTAGGAGGCAGTGGAGAGACGTCCCTTGGAGATGCTCTGTGGTGCTGCTCTAACCTATACAGTGACATTAAGCTGCGGCTCTCTCACAAACGCCTCATGATTTTCACCTGCAGAGACAACCCTCATGGAGGAGACAGTGCACGAGACAGACAGGCTCGCACTAAGGCAGTAGACCTTAAAGAGACAGGTGGGCTGATTAAATTGGACAGATGTTTGAAAAAAAGGCATGAGGTTACGATGTGTATAAATCTGTGGATGTATTTTATCTTGATATGATTTATATTTTCTTCCCACTACAGGGGTGGTAATAGACTTGATGCATCTTACCAAGCCTGGGGGGTTTGATGTTTCGCTCTTCTTTTGTGATATTGTAAGCCCCCCTGAGGATGACGGTGAGCTTGGGTTGCAGCTCGAGCCTTGTGGGAAACTTGAGGACCTACAGAAGAGGGTCAGGGCTAAAGAGATGAAGAAGAGAGCTCAGAGTAGGTGAGTGGAAGACTGTGTTTACAGGGTACAACATGTACATGTAAAACATCACTGTACACTATGTAAACCTCTCAAACAACATTGCGAAGAGTACATACAGTATTGTGCAAAATTCTCAGGCACATAAGCTCATTATTTAAAACCATTTAATTCAGCAATAAGTCTATTTGAGCTTGTGAAAACACTATGTAATTAGAATAAATGCAATTCAACATAAATAGAATAAGAAATAATGAGAGTTTTCTGTGTTCAAAAAAAGTAGTTGTCTTGATAGCTAGCTTGAAAAACAATGTTTGGTTCCAGATGTTTCCTTACTGCCAGCATCACATAGATTGTAAAATTCTATTACAAGCGCTCTTGATTTAACATAACAAAGCACTCATTTAGCCAGGTCTTGGGTGATATATACAAATAACCCCTTTAATTCTCAGGCTTATTACATACTGAGACTTATTATTCAATAACTACAGGGACTTCAGTGCAAACTGGCTGAGCTGTGCTTAGGTTATAGAAGTGTGTGATAAAACTTGGCCTGCCAGTGGGCCCCTCGCCATTTAAGGGGTTAATGCTAGACTTCCATGAAAAGAGGTTTGTAAGTGGTTGTGCAAAAACATGCATATATGTAAAATCACTACTTATTGAATTAATAACATTTGTATTTGTTGCAATATTAGTGTTTTTCTGAGCAAAATAAACAATTACTGCCCAGATAAATAGCGTTTTGAATATAACTGTCTCAAATACTTAAAACCTTTACACGTTCTTGTATCCATATCTTAATGGAATTGACCATAATTGGAATCATCACTTATTTGCTCCTAGCTTGCTATTGTCAATTGACTGACTTACTTTTTATTTTGGTTGATCTGTAGAATGATTTTTTGACATAAATAATCTGAGACAGATAAGTGAATGCACGCTGCACTTGAATGCTCTGTGTGCACATCCATGTGTGTGTTAGGATGTGTTAAGCATGATTTTAACAACCACGTCTATGTGCGTACACAGCGGCTATGCAAGCAGCATTGTTCTCACACTCGTCTGCGTAACTTTATCTGTCTGGAAGATTAAAAGCCATATTCAGTAGGTTGGCAGGTCAGGGTGAAACATCCCCTGCCAGCACAAGAATATCTGTGGTTTCTTTTTCTCATCAACAATACGCATGATATTCGCAAAGGAGACTGTATTATTGGTTATCATGAGAAAACAGCAGAAACAGACAGCACAAGTGCTTGTTGTCGTGGTTTGTTCAGCCTGTTGCTGACATTGCATCATTTTGTCTGATATCAGATTGACCACAGCTGTTTGTTTTCAAAAGGTAGGTTAAAATGATTTTAAGGTGATGCACATCCAATTACGTTTGACATTTATATCAATTTTCTAAATGATTAATTGACAGTAAAATACAGAATTGCAGTTTTTATGAGTGTTTTTCTAAACATTTGTGCTTCAATTGTAGTTTATCCTCTATAGTTATTTTGCTCAGTGAAATGCTGCTGTATTGCATTTATTTCTACTGTGCTCATATGTCCGCCAATTTTAGTCAATTGATTTTTAGTCCTTTAACAAAAAATTCTATATGGCAAAATAATAGTGAAACAATATATTTGGAATGCAACCAGCAGATGGTGTACATTCCTTTTCCATAGTGCCTCCACAGTTTATATTGGTTTTGCATCTTGTGGACACTTTTTCTGAGGACATGTGCAACACTCACAGCAAATGTGGGATGCACAGGGGGTGCCATCCTGTGCACACATTTGCATAGTTAAAATCATATATAGCAGCCCTTTTATAGCGGCTTCTCACAAGCCTATGTGTTTTGTATGAGTGCATTTGTTAATCCCACATAGTGCAAGCAAAGAGCAAATAATCGAATTGCATTTGTTGCCTGTTGCAGAAAAATCACCCAAATCAGTGATTTGCCAATTTGGCGGTAAAGAAATAAGAATCGTTGGTAAAAATTCATGATAAGTCTATCACTATTTTAAAATAGTTCCTCTGTACTCTCTTCTTTATCAAGAGAATATGTCTACATCTACACAGCGGAGATTGGTTAGAACACAAACATTTAGACAGCGCTAACAGTTCCCTTGTTAAATGTCCCAAATTCTAGCAAAAAATAACAATATTTTCATTCCCCCTTTGTCCTCAGGTTGACTTTTTCTCTGGGAGAGGGGATGAATGTGGCTGTAGGTGTATATGTGCTGGCTAGGACAGCCACCAAACCTCCCGCTGTCAGACTGTACAGAGAAACCAACGAGCCTGTTCGCACTAAGACCCGTCTCTTCCACACACAAAATGGAAGCCTGCTTCTGCCTAGTGATACCAAGAGAGCCCAGGTAACTGCATAAAACACATAATTTACTGTTTGAGCCCATAGTAAAAAGGTTTGGCATGGCTGTGATGATGATGATGATGATAATGATGATGTTTCTGTCTGTATTTTCTGAAGGTTTATGGAAACAAACAAATAGTGATGGAGAAGGATGAGGTGGATGAGATCAAAAAGTTTGATGATCCAGGTCTAGTTCTAATAGGGTTTAAGCCAGTGGATCGTTTGAAATTGCACCACCACATACGGCCTGCACTCTTTGTATATCCCGAAGAGGATCAAGTCACAGGCAAGTGTTTATTAGCTGATCATCTGATCGGTTTTCAGATTAAGTAGTTATGATATTTACATGCTCTTAATGCTGTAAGGTATGTTGTATTGTTCTCAAAACCGATTAATCATTTTTCACCTCTCTACTTTAATACTGTTCCAGGTAGTTCCTGTGTGTTTACAGC